TTTTTTTCAGGGGTGATTTTTCAAAAATTTATTTTAAAAAAAGTACTAACTAGCAAATGTTTTTTATTAGCTCGCAATTTTCTTCAAAACTACTTCAATGAGGAAAAAAATAAAAATTTGGAATATCTATACATGAGGGGCTAATTGATCGGATCTACCGGTGGTTTACCCCTTCAAACTTGTTCAAACCCTCACATTGTAGTTTACAGTAGTAGTTCCCCTTCAACTCATTCATTTCAGTATTGTTTTTTATTGTTGTACTCGAAGTTCCGATGTCATATTTTAGAAAAACTTGAGGATTTGGAAATTAATTGATTGAAGTACCAATGATAAACCATCGGACGGCCATTTTTCTTAGTGCAGGCGATACCCACCAGATATCGCAGCGATTTATAGCGTCCCCAATAGGATCCAGTTTAGTTTGGAATTTTTCCATTTCAAAAAATGGCGGTTGATGCCTGGCTCGACCTGGCCGATCCTTTGTTGACCCAAGATACGACACAACTGGCACCCAGCCCCTTATCTCGGAATTTCTAGGCTCGCTTCACATGTAAACAATTTCATTTTTCAGGATATTACATGAACAAATTTGTTTCGACCAGAAATTTTCCTACACTGAAACCGATGCTCTTCGGGCAAAAGGAGGATGATCCTGAATAAAAAAATTATATTTTTTCTGGAAATTAGATAATATTCCCGAAGAGACAACGTAAGTTTGAGAGAAGGACAAGATGTCATTACTTTCCTTCGAACTCATTGCCATTGAGAGCAAGTGGCGGTTATATTTTAGACATATCTGAAGGTTCTGCCCTGTATAAACTCTGTATTCATTCAATATGAAAGTCTCTGATCCATGATTCACTGAATCGAAGCTTTTAGTATGTTTATTCATTTTCTCACCTTTTGACACGAAATAAACGATCTCTTGAGGCAAGAAATTGTCACTTTATCGCCAAGTATTCGTGTTTAAGTCATGAACATATCACTGGATTATTACACTGTCTGACTCATTATGCGGAATTCTTATACCAAGTGTTTTATCCTTAACAGATGAGATATTTGACGCAAGAAATTAGTTTTGTGATATTATGTCGATATTTCTCTCAGTGTATAATCACAAACACAATGGCTCAACATTGTGTGTTATGACCGTTTTAATTACGCATGTATTTCCGTACGAGTCCCCTCTTCTCGATAACAATTGACCGCAGTTCCACGTGATAATAGCAGGCATACAATTATAACAACCATTATCAATTTCATGGTGAATTGGAGTTATCGATGATGGATAACTGTTTATACGATAGGAGAGAATGGAACCGACCAGGTTGAAATGCTTGATTTTCCAAGAAAAACATACAATCGTTGTCATTAGGTTCATCGGTTCCTCACGAAAATTGTCCTTCATTTCAATAAGAGTCTACCGGATGAATGCCCCTCATTCTGCTTGCTCTTCCATTTTGAGTGAAAATACAGAATACATAATGAGTTTCCTCCCTTAGAAATTCTACCGGCTTCTAAATAACTGGATGTCTAGAAATATAACAGCTCAGATGATGATCACTGACACAATCGAAATAACTTACACAATTGAAATAGCTTACACAATCGTCGAATAACTTGTATAATTACATTGATGGGGGATTTTTAGAGAATTATTGAATTAATTTTCTTTTGAAATATTCACCAAAAAGCGAATATACACGAAAAAGCAAATATCTGGACCGAGAATAAACTGTTTTTTTGAATTAAGAATACAGGAAAAATCAATTTGAGAATGAATATTCACGAATCAATTATAGTATTTTTAGATTTAATATGCTTGAAGCGGTAAAACGTTTTAAAGTATATCCCAAGACAATACCACTCACTAGTTAGTCCCTATGGATTTCCGGAAAAAATCTAAACGACTTATTTTATTGTATTCTCATAAGTTATTGAGTTTTTCCATCCTCGTTAAACATCGCAGAACCTGGACTACAAATTTTACAAAAATTAATGCAAAAAAAAAGTTGGTAAATTTTTTTTTTTATTGAATTGTGTCAAACAGTCGCATTTTTGACTATTTCATTTTGCCCCGCTGTTTCAATTCGCCCGACTCTCCCCTACACAAAGAGAAAAATTCAATAAAAATTACCAGAAAAAAAACGTAAAAATTACGTTTCGAAACGTAATCCGCGAGCGAAGTAAATTTCAATAAAAAGTGTGAGTCGGAACTGAAATTGTACGAATCGTCACGTAAATTCTACGATTTTTTCCGTAAAAAATAACCAGCCGTCTGATGACTCACCGCTGTGGGGACAACAAGTCGTTCCGTAATTTTTCCCCAACGATTAAGAAATTTTACGGACCGGAACGTAGAAATAACTCACCAGCTTCATAAACATTGTTGAACGTTCAAGAATTTTTTATTTTGGAGGCATAATAAGTCGGCAACTTTCTGTAAGATTTTACTTCTTCGGGAAAAATTACGTGACAATTTCGTACTCTGTTCGGTGATGAACCTGAGAATTCACCGAACGTTTCAGATTTCTTCTCTTCCATTCCTATAAAAATTGGCGAAAAACGATTCTCCATTGCGGATTACGTGAATTGTTCCGTAATTTTTACTGAATATTTCACTCCGTGTAATAAATGAATTTAATTTTAATTAATAGCGATAGATAGAGTTCAACATTACCTACATGTGAGAAAAAAAAGATTCAATTCCATCGATTCATTAGCGAAGAATCAAAGAAACATTTGTTCACATACGTACGAACACGGTCTAAAGATTGCATTGTCGAACTTTTTGGGTCATAATGAGTCCACTAACCCGAAAAATCCAAACTTAAATTTGAACGATTACAATGCTTCCATTCGGAAGCAAAAATGAAAACTCTGAGAATTTAAGCGCCAACTATCGCAACCATCCGCGTATGCACAATTCAATCAAATACATCGATTAATGATCTCGCAGAATTCAAGTTTTATTAAAACTTTCGTCCCTTTGTAACAATGTTCGTCGAAAGATCAAAACCTTCATGAATAATTCGATCTCAATCCAATCAAAAACCCCAACGCAGAAAATCGGTATGCAAAAAATTGATCGTCAACGAACTTTCAATAACTTCGTAACCGTGCATAATACCACGAGCTCGTGAAATAATCAGGCGATATCACTTACCGATTCCCGTGCATGTGAGTTGGACTCAACAACCGTTTTCTTCAATTCACAATTCTGCCGCCGGAGGAGTGCAATCTGAAACAAGATAAAAATTGAAAATCAGTTATTCGATTCCTTCCATATATCAAGCCGGAAATAATTATGCATCGAACGAGGAAGATCATAGGTTAGATAAATTCACGTGGAGGTCGAGTGATAATGAAATCTATTCTTCACCTCCAAAAGTAAATCAAAGTTACCCTCAATTATCTCATTCAAGATATCAGATGGAATTCCATGAATAAAGAAATATTCAACCTTCAGATCAACTTCCAAATCTTTCGTAAGAGAAAGATAAGAGTTGGTACACCGAATTTTACTGTTTGGCTGGGGTGAGAATTGAGTGGGGGTAACTTCAGGTAATATTCAAACACAAAAAAAAGTACTAGACGATAGCAGGAGCATTAAACTGGTAACCACAATCGTGGAGGAAGTCCGGTGGTTCGCCGAGAGGGGCAGGGGAAGGTGCACACGATGCCTCGTCTCTGTTTGCCAACTTTATCTCACGTTTGTACTGCGATAAAACATTTTAGCCTCTTCAAAACTACCTCCTCTCCCCATACTTCACCGTCAAGAGGATTTTTTCACGATCCCAGGGAGTCGAAGTCATTCGAGGATAAAACTGAACCATTCCAAACGTTTATTTCGAGTAAGAATAAGAAGCGGATGGAGAGTGTATGCTGTCACTTTAAATATGATGATCAGGCACTCTGACGTACTCGGATTACGACCCAGTATGAGACAAAAAGAGACAGGAACTGTCTTGCAGACTTGTCTTATCAATTTTCAGAATTTTTTTCCGATCGAGCTGAAGACTAGAACGTATTGGAGGTGTGATATTTGTGTCGTTTTTTTTTATTTTAAGGACAATGGATTGGGATTGAATGAATCAGCAGATAAGGGTATTTGATTAACACTCGGCTGAGATTATTAGGGAAACCGTGCATCTGTTGGGGTTTTTAACGGATAGCGAGTGTTATCGGGGGAGGTTTTATCGGGGCATATGGTGGATTGAGCGCGATGCATGGATGTTTCAAATCCTTTGGAATAATTTTAACTTTTGGGAAAATGGAAGAGATAAAGGACAAAGTTCTGTCGGTTTTTGGGTTATAATTGAAGTTTAAAGTAGTATTTTTACGCAGTGCTAAAAATTTTTGGCGAAAATTTTCATAACTTGGCAATTTTTATTGAGAATTCACAATTTCAGTTAAATTATTGCATAAAACTTGATCGAAATTAGGAAAATTCGGGTAAGTATATTTTTGAATTTGATTGAAAATTCAGAGAACTCAAGGAATTCTCATCTTCCTGCTGCCTAAGAATTCGGAATTAGTATTAAGGGGTCTCCTCAGTAAGACAAAACGGGGACGGGCGCGCGGGTGAGTGGAGCGTAAAATGTTTAAGTTAATGATGTTATTTTCGGGAGAGACGAACCATCAAACATGGCGTGACAGACATCACGCCAATTATTTTTATCGTTAATTTATTCAACAAATTAACGGCAAAACTCGATGAGACTTCATTCCCTTATTTTTGAGAGTTTAATATAGATAAATACAGTCTCCTTGGTTGGTTAGCACATTATCAACAGGCTGAGGGGTAAGGGACAAAATAGCGTTCATAAGGGCCATGTACACGGAGAGAAATTTTCTAGAAAAATTCTAGTACGAGCACTGGAAAAAATCACGATCCACCAGCTGTGAAAAATTCTAGTGCTGTTAAGGTAAAATTTCTTGGTATTTCTGGTAAAATTTCTGGGGATTTCTGTGAAATTTTCACAGAAATACGGGGGAAAATTCGCGTTTTCCCCAATAAAATTTGTAGTGCTAGCACTGGAATTTTTTCCTAGCCGTCACTTTGCGCCTCTTTTCCCGTGCTAGCACTAGAATTTTTCTAAAAAATTTCTTTTCGTGTATAAGCAGAAATTTGAATGAACAATTAAAAATGAACGAAATAATAAAACTACTCAGAGTTTGTTTACAATTTTCCTTTTACTATTCTTGACTATTATATTACATATTCAGTTCGCTAGCACATTGGCGTTTTGTGGTGAAAATTACTGAGGAAACCCCTTAAATTTACCGTGAAATTTGAATTTAAAATTCTGTTTTCTGCCTTTCTAAATCGAATCCACTGTCACTCTCCTGATAATTACTACTGAAATGTCCATGAAATTTCATTTTTTTCCAACAGCATTAATAATTACACTCAAGGGAGTAATTTTCTATTTTCGTCATTGTATTTAAACACTGAGAACTCCTTTTATTATATCTTGTTTCGTCATTGTCAGCCTGAAAACCGTTGCAGGATGTGGGAAAATGTTCCACGTTTTTCATTATTAAAATATTAAATATTGAATTCAGTGAAGAAAACTACTGCAGAATGGAGTTATGAGACAACTGTAGGGGGAACACTTGGTAAATATCTTCTAATAGGAAGAAAATAGCGAAATTTTCATCTAGGCGTTTTATGTAGGTCTCGCTTTGTTCCAGTAGAAGGCTTTATGTTGTTCGCTTAAAATGCTGAATTCGATAATCACTACGGAGGAGTTCAGCAATGAGACGACTGGCGTGGGAGTATTTAATCAATATCTTTGGTTGGAAGAAGATAGTGAAATTTTTATCAAGTCAGTTTTTTGCAGTCCTCAAATTGTTCTACGATAATTGCGCTATCTCTCTCAAACTCTGAGATATTTTCCGAAAACAGAGCTCCAAGGGAAATGGATTTATCTTGTTCTATGACTCCACCAATCATTGATTCCCACGTCCCCATAGAGAGGTGATAAAATAGTCTGAGGTGACATCACACCTCAGACTATTCATCTTGATCGATTCTGTTTGACAGACTTCCTTCGTACGATATTTTATCGACTCAAAAATAAGTATTGTAAAATGTTTGATAAAATTCCTCATTCGGAGGTGATCGTAACTCTTAGGAAAAATTCAGATGTGCCTCACACATAACACTTCACTGATTGTGTTTATACAACTGAATGGAAAATATGAATACCTCGGCGTCCCTCGAGTTGAGTAATTCTTGCAGCTGAACACATCTTCGATTGGTCTCTTCAAGTTCCTTATCTCGATCATCTGAAAAGAATAAAACCGTGAACTCAACCATAATTTTCAAGCATAACATGAGAATGATATAACTACATGAAAATTATGCCGATTATTTTGCAAATGCACTAACAGAATGACACAGAGAAGAGAGGTTTCTAAAATGAAATTTCTACTTATTCTAAGAGAATTTTTCCTCAAAAAATGAGAAATAAAAGTACTTAAGGATATCCGAGTACTTTGAATATTTTTTCGCCACTGAAATGCTTTTCTACTTTTGTAGTCGAGCATCAGAGCACTCATTTGAGCCCCATTTGATCCCAACTTTCCAGACATTTTACCGTGATTTTATTAGTAAAACGTGGCAAGTCTGCATTCCCCATCGCAACAGGCCGGAAAAATACTATTGTCGGTGTTAAAGTAGCTCTACCCTTAGAAGGTTGTTTTTCTATTGAAAGAAAAAGATATGTTAAACTATAAACAACTAGGCGAGGTTGGGGTAAAACGGACACTTGACTTTTTTTTAAATGTTAATGAAGTGTTGAAATGTTGATGAAATTTAATAATTTTTTTTTCAATACAAAGAACAACTCTTTCCCTTTGTGACGAGCCTAAACTGAACTCAATTGATAAATTTGTTTCGGAGTTATGAACAATTAAAAAAAGTCTAGTGTCCATTTTACTCCACCCTCCCCTACCTGAAAATTCAGTGAGATTCGGAATCGTAATTTTTGCGCCATTTAATTGCCGTTGTTGTTTTTATACATAAGGATGTTTCAAAAGCATTATTTAATCCAGAGTCGAATGAGGAAATCGCCAAACGTGGTATATCTCCGTTAAAATAAAAGATTAAAACCTGAATATCTTTACTAAGAATGTGAAAAAAATAATAAATATTGGCATTTGTTTAAGCACAATCTATCGTTTAGTTTTTTTTATTATCAACAATATTCAACAATATATCAACAATATAGGGTTCGTTTATATCAACAATATAGTGGTATATCTCCGTTAAAATAAAAGATTAAAACCTGAATTTCTTTACTAAGAATGTGAAAAAAATAATAAATATTGGCATTTGTTTAAGCACAATCTATCGTTTAGTTTTTTTTATTATCAACAATATTCCTCCGGAATCGCCAAGGACTGGAAACACAAATAGACGTGACAACAACGGCCATGGTTATGGCGCTCACTCCGCTCGTCTTCCACCGCTCACATGATCGTACGGTGTTGTCACGAGTATTTTCAAACTAGTCAATTGAAAAACTGTTCATCCTTCATCCATACTTTGAGTTAGAAAAATTAAAGAATGCGATGATTCTCATATTTATGACCTCTGTAATTCATTTAACTTATTTAGCCATAACAGCACAATAATGTTTAGAATTTCTTTTTGTGAAAACACTCAATGTCTCGAGCCGTAAGGGTAGAGCTACTTTAAAGTATGTTCTCTGTTGATATTAATTCCCCTGAACGTTTCAGACCCTTTTAGCGAACTGACATTCAATCAATAGTCCTTGAAGACTGATAAACTGATTCACGTGATGAATGAAAATATTCATTTTCATCACGCTGTGACGAAAAGTGAACTTTTCGGCACGCTCCGCGTGCCTAAAAGTCCAATTTCCGTCACATTGTGATGAAAAATATTGTTCGTAACTCGTGAAAAAATGTTTTTTAGCTCGTGGGATTATATCACGAGCCGAAGGCGAGAATATAAACCTCCCACTCGCCAAAAAACACTTTTTTGCACTCGTTACGAAATATACTATAGGAATTCCCATTACATCTTTGGGCAATTCTCTGAATGAATGAAATCAATAATTCCCCTCGATTGTTCCGTCCAAAACAGCTATTGAATGAGACTTTCTCAGATTATTAAAATGCACAAAATTTAATATTCAACGTGTCAATCTGCGGGATTAAAATTTGAAAGACATTATCGCGCCTTGCTTACGCAGCACTCGGCCAATACAACAGATTCATGTTTTGACAGCAGCTCCCGTGACTGTTCTCTCATAACCCCTCGACCTAATTCCTGATTGATACATCAAAAAAATTCCCCAATCAAAAACTAACGTACCAATCTCCGCGACAATTCCCTCGGAGAGCACTTCCTTCGTGAAATTAGTAATCTGTCCCGTTAAATTTGATAGGCTAGTAAGACCATCGTCGAACCACGCCATTTTACACGTCGACAGTCAACTGTCCAACGTATTTCACCCACAAAATGTAATTTTTCAATGTCAAATGCACCAGAGACTACCTCATTACTCCTCAGAAACAATTGTCACGCTTAACAGTAATACGGAAATAATAATTTTTTACGGTTTTCAACAGTTCTTCGTGACACATACACACATTTCAACACCATCACAATTCCGTCAACGTGAAAGGAAGATAACAGAAAATTTCTGGCACTGATTTGTCGCGCCATCTAGACGCACTCGTCATTTCAAACGTCCATCAAATTTTCAAAGTTGTTTTTCGACATTTCCTCCCGAAACACACTTGAGGAATCAATTCTTTCACAACAGTCGTAATCCCCGAAGTAATTAACTGATTGAAAATGTCACCGAGTGCCTCAGTTCCTAGTTTACCATCAGCTGAGTAACTTACCAACAGCCTAAACCCTTTAACCTACTCCTCTTTATCGCCAGTCGTTTCTACTCCAACTCTTCAAAGATCTTTCAACCCGCCTCATGTTCCACAGGTGTAGAACAAGTGTCTCCCAATCCCAACAAAACACCCCTGAATATTCATGTCATCACCCCTAAAAATAATAAAAACACTCACCCGGCTCCCCACAACATTTCACTTGCAAATTCGACTGGAGTAGCGGATTAGCTGCACAAGTCCCCCAATCAAAAACCGTAAAAAAAAACCTCCGCGAAACCAGATCGTCGAGACCAGTTGACCCACTTAAAACAGTGTCAACGGCACGTCCAGAGGAGTAAAGAGAATCCACAAAGAGATGAAGAAAAAAACTGCATTGAAAAAACCAGTAAAAAGAAGCCATGACAAACGATTGAAAAAAATCAATGTAGCAGACTGAATGCCTAGGAGCGTTGCTCAAGAGTCATCAAGAAGATGAGTGGAATCGAAAGGGATAGCGGGCAGGCGGCAGTTGCGTATGGAAACAAAACAAAAAAAACAAAATAAAGGAATAAAAATGATGAAAACACAAAAAATTAAATAAGATAAGAATTCGGCTGGGTTGTTGGTCGCTCGCTCACATTGTGGGTGAGTTAAAGTGGGTGTGACCCATTTCTGGTCGAACCAATAACTTTCCGACCAATTCCCATTTTTCTATTTATTTGAAAAAACAAGTGGACAATGGCATTTTTTAGATAAATGAGTAGAGGAGGTTGGGTAAAACGGACACTTTTGACTTTTTTTAAAATGTTAATGAGGGGTTGAAATGTTGATAAAATTCAATAATTTTTTTTTCAATACAAAGAACAATTCTTTCCCTTTGTGACGAGCCTAAACTGAGCTCGATTGATCAATTTGTTTCTGAGTTGTGAATAATTCAAAAAAAGTCTGAAGTGTCCGTTTTACCCCACCCGCCCCTATAGTAATTGTTGCTAATGAATTAGCAAATTGTTAACGGATGGGTTTTTTTTGAAATTTTTGAAGTCATTGTAGTAGTACTGTAGTATTTTTGAAGTCATTATGTATAATCAATTGAAAAGTCATCAAAAGTTTGTTTATTATTTTGTTTTGTTAAATAATTCTGCATTCAGACCCTCTCAAGACTCGAATTCGTTTTCAGTGCGGGTTTGATCAAGGTTCCGTCAAGGTTTAATGAGTGTATTGCTGGGATTTACTCAGGGTTTATTCAGGATTTAACCAGAGTTTAACCCAGTTTACGTCAGAAGTTAGTCGGGACCATGAATCAATATCAGTAGCGAAGTGGTAAAATGGTTTAAGTCGACTTATCTCCCAGTTGAGTTTTTGAGGAATATTTCCGAACCTATGGGAGATAGCGAAATTTTCGTAACTACATTTGTTGTAGCACTTAGTCGGCTCTATAAAAAAGGTTATAACAACAATTTTGCTAACTCCCTTAGATTCCGAGATATTCACTGAAAACTGGTCAATAGTCGACATTGACTTGTACCGTTTTACCACTGCGCTACTGATATGAATAAGTATTCAGCATAATGGACTAGTACCTGAGTTTAATAGAGATAGAGAGAAAAAGTGGGAAAAAAGTGCTCAGATCCAAAAGTGGGAGGGGAACTTTTCACTTTCCACTGTTGAATTTTCAAAGAAAACTGATTTTTTAAATGTTTTCGCACGCTTTTTTGTGAATAACTAACGAACCGCTGAGACGATCGTCTTCATAAACGATTCAGTTATCGTTCAGTCACGTTAACACGCATCGATTGAAAAAAACAAATGTGCATTCCTTCATTTGTTCAGAAAATATCGTTGGACAAAATTTTGGTGACACACACTGGGAAAAAAAATATTTTTGCCAAATATTGATGTGCTTGGGAGAAGCATTTATTTTTTCAAAATCGTATTTCTCCAATCGAGTCATTCCTAGGCGAGCCTGATCAGTTTTCGAATATGACAATCATGTTGCTCTAGAGGATGACTATGCTGCACATGACCCTGGATGAACTCCTCCAATGATTATTCAGTTTTCCTCAATTTCTTATTTTCTAGAGGGAAGAATTTCGATTAATTTTTTAAAGTTCATAATTCAGTAGCGAAGCGGTAAACCGGGTCAAGTCTATTTTTCCTTTTGGCCATTTTTTGATGAATATCTCGGAATCTAAGAGAGATAGCAAAATTTTGCTCATGACCTTTTTTGTAACCCTCAGTTGGCTCTACAAAAAAGGTCATGACAACGATTTTTGTATCTCTTTTAGATTCCGAGATATTCGTCAAAAACTGGCCAACAGTTAAAATCGACTTAACCCGTTTTACCGCTTCGCTCCTGAATTATCGAGGGAGTTCACTCAAAGTCACAACTAACATGATCACCCTCTAGAGCAATACAATTGTCATAATTGAAACCTAATGAGAATTGCCTGGGAATGACTAGACTGGAGAAATACTGTATTGAAAAAATAAATACTTCTCTCAAGTAACTGGATATTTGTCAACAATAATTTTTTTCTCAGCGTACGTACATGTCTTCAAAAACGTATCAGAATGATTGTAGAGGCTGAGAAATGTGAAGAAATCACGGAAATGCCACCTTAGATTTTCGGGGTCATTACAATAACTTCCACCCCCAGGTCGGGAAGTTGAAAAAATCTGCTCGGCAAAAAAATAATTCTAAACTCGGAGAATCTTCATTTCCGGAAAATGAAATGATTTGTCGCTGAAAGACAGGAACTAATGACCACAAGTGATTAAAGATAAAATCCAGGATCGTGTCAGTCGTACGCCCGTCCCTGTCGTTGGGATCACGACGAACGCTTCTTGGTTCATCTCTCCCGCATGTACACCTCTAGGTGTATGTACATATGAGTTTTGGTATTATACAGAAATACGAGGGGCAAGTGTGTGCGCAACGACCGTGGATACACCACACTCCATACGAAAGGAAAGGCAAGAGGCGAAACGAACGGAATGGGAGAAGAAGAAGAGAAGGAGGAGCGGGAGGAGGAGGGTAGCAAACGGCTGAGGCCGGTGGCAGGAGAGAAGGCAAAGAGGCATATTCGAATCGTCCGGTTGACTCGGCTCAGTCCGATGCAAACCACTGCCACGGTCGCCACCTAAACGTTTCGTTCTGTCCTCTTGGTCTCGCCAGTTTTTTTTGAATAACACTGCATTGCCGCCATTTCTCGAACGATTCATTGGTCCAGTGGTATAAATTCAAACGACACCAATGGTTCAAATCACCTGTGATATGTTTTGAAAGCCCGTGTGCATTTTGTATTTATCTGTTTGTGGAGCTGTTGAGGATTGGATTCGCTGGAGAATTTGCTAATTCATGCGAATGGCAGTGACAGCTATGTCTCACCATAGGTTGGTATTTAAATCGATTTTTTATTGATCGTTTGTGCCAGAGTTTACGTTGATTCATGGTACACGAAGGAATGCCACTGGTGGTACCTGGGCTCAATGTCGAGGACATTGACTCCGTATTATTTTTATTTCCTCATTGTTAGTTTCATGTTGAGTTTCAGTGAAATATGTTTGGGATACTTCTGCAATCAATTGCAATGAGTTTTTATGCATTCTTCAGGGGGGGTTCATGTGGGAAATAGTTACATGGTAATTGCGACGAGTAGAACTATGTGGATATTTCCCATTTCATTTGGAGTGAAGACAATAGACAAGGGGGGATCGTGTGTACTTTTTTGTGGGATTTTTTTTCAGTTTCTCCTCGATGCTCGTGCATACAACATCCCGGATACTCCCGGGAATACATTGCGATGCGTGTGCATGTGAATTTCCACTTTGTGCATGCTGGGTTATTAAATTCAATGTTCTGACACGGTTGTGGGGGGAATGAAAGGACAAAACAGGTTTTAATTAATTAGGAGTGATGAAATTCGGTATTTCATGGAGTATTGAATTCTGGATGAAGGGTGCATGCTTGGTCCACGCGGCGGGAGGTTTTTTCTTTATTCTCATAGACGTTCGGGTTAATGAAAAATTCTCATTCATCACGTGGAGATTTTTCTACTCCGTGCACAGGAGGTTGAATTAAAATTTCACAGCGAAAATGGATATTAATTGGATATGAGATCCTTCTCAAGTTTTAATTCACATCTGTGGGATCTTTTTTCATGGCTTTTTGTTCATTTTTTTGGTTAATAAAAGAGGGAAATCGTCGAGTGACTGTTGAAATGTCGAAATTACGGGGTACTCTGTGTGGCATAGTGCGCTCGTTATACCGGTGAACGAGAAAAAACCGACGGTGATTCTAAAGTCCTCCCACTCGTGCACGTGCGTGGTGTCTGTCGCTCAAACAGCAAACTGTGAAGAATCGTGTGTATGACGTGTTTTTTTTTTTACAATGTGCAGAATTGTGGTGCATGCGAGAGAGTTTTTGTAACGGTATTAATAGGATATAACGGGAGGGAAAATTCAACGCATTAATATGGGACAATTGGATGTTGAGAGAGGACTTTTTTTTCCATGCACTTCGGGTAAATTGAGTGCAGTTGCGCATGAGAGTAGGATAATTGGAATTTGTGAGTGAAGAAAAAGAGTATCATTTCCCGCCGGGAGAAACCAGATCGAGTTGCATTATCCTATTGGAGATATTCCTGGTATACTCTCAAGGCCATTGACACTCGCCTACGAGTGATATAGTCCTTCAGTTTGCCTAATCTGAATTGGGTGGGAATTATGGCGGGATTGGGGGGAGGTGTGTGGGGAACTGCTGAATGATGGTTCGTTTGAGAATTCATCTTGAGACGGATGATTAGCATATTTTTCTCATGAATTAGGTGGGTGATGCATTGATCCTGCATCTAGGCTTGGGGAAATTCAATATAAAGTCCTGGGGAACTCTATTGGGAGATCCAGAAGTTTTCTGTTGGAGATTCCCATCGATAATTTTTCCCATCCAAATTTCAACCAATAGAATTGCACTATTCGACTGTTATTTTATATAGTCAACACGGTATTCAATTGATAATTTTTGATAACAAGATATATACGCGCGCTCTCGCGCGCGCTGATCTGTTCATTTGTTGAAATGAAGAAATGAAATTCATTGAATTTCATTTTCTCATGAATACCTTATAAATATTGATAATGAATCAAAGAGACTAATGAAGTCAATAGCGAAGTAGAGTAGAAGAATCTATAAAGAATTTTTCATTTTCAATTAATTATCTTCAATTTTTTTAAATAATCGGTCTCCATAAAAGGACAGAATTTATTAATTTCACCGATAATATATATACATGTGAAATATATGACGTGAAAAAAAAATTTACCGGTGAAGAATTAAGAAAAAATTATGTCACTGAAGAATTTGAAAATGCCGCATGTTTTTTTTGTGAATAACTTTGTATCACATATTGACCAATCAGAATTAAGGATTAGCGGTCAGGCAGTTTCAAGATATTTCGATATAAAACAACTTCACGTTTCTTTCATCTTTAGTAAATAGGATTCCACTGGTAATTTTTCATGTTGATATGTATATGAAAAACAAAAGATTTCCGGGTCGAATGAGCCCCTCGTTGGAATTGACAGATGGATTTAGTCTCATAGGGCAATTCTCTTGGTCGAAATTTGGATGGAAAATATTCTCTTCCGAATACCGCTCGGGCAGAGGGGCTACTACTTCCGATATCACGGCGTTACTCTGGCATGAAATCATTCCGAAATCACGTGAAATCACCGAAATCACTGAAATTACTAAAATCAAGTGATTTCAGTTCTCCGAAATCATCTCCGAAATCACGTGAAGCCCGGTGGCTTGGCGCAGTGGGTAAGTTCGTTGCCTCACATGCGAAAGGTTCCGAATTCAAATCCCGGCCGGGTAGAATGGTGCGATTTAACCATTTAAAGTCTTGATCATCATCGCAGTATACCCTAATCGGGTCGAAACGATGTTAAATAAAGATTAAAAAAAAAATCATGTGAAATCGCCTGAAATCAATGAAATCACCGAAATCAGTAGTGCACTGGCGTTGTACGAACCGTGCAAGTAATTCGTGATTGACACATCTGCCAACGATGATAATAAAATGCCGTACTTACTGCCATAGTAAAATGGTAAAATGAACTGCGTTTCATTGTCATTAGCTCAAGATTGGCGGAGTAGAATCAAACGAATTCGTTATTATTTGCCAGGTAATATTGCTAGTTTTGATTTTCATAATTTAACACAACCCGTTTTGCCCCACCTCTATTATTTATTAACTTTATTTTCCTGAAATCACTGATTTCGAATTAATGAAATCATTCGAACTCATGAAATCATCTTCCGTGACCTTCGAAATCACCGAAATCAGTTTTTCCGAAATCACCGCTGAAATCACCCGAAATCGACTTCATTTCAAAATCATGGTGTCACTCAATTATCGAGTGAGTAGCCCCTCGGCTCGAGCTTCAAAATTAATCAGGTATTTTCCTCAAGGTTCCCTACATACAAACAAACTTGTCAAGTTTTTCGGGACCTTCCGATTATGCATCGGGTGCTCTCCCAACTGAGCTATCCGGCTCTAAACCGGAAAAAAATCGCGAGTGCGAAGCGCGAGTGATTTTTCCTGAAAAACTGGACCCCTTCGTTTGTTTACAACAAACCTATCGGGGAATACCTGAGAATTTTTGTCATTCCGGCCGTTATGACAAAAAATATTGTTCGTCACACGGTCGAAAAAAAATTTTCTGGCGAATATGTGTTTGCAGGCCGAGCAGAAGGCGAGGCGAAATATACTATTTGAGGCTCTTGTAGTACTACATACGACAATTCGGCAATTTTTTCTGCGCTTTTTTTCGCCATGATTTCTTTCCATAGATTTTCAGTCATGTATCGAGATTATTTCACCAGAGATCGTTTGTATTTATGTTCCAAAGAAAGGTAAAAAAATTCAAATAATTTTTTATCATTGAATTTTTATTAAATTTGTCTATACGCGTTAAAAAGAGAAAAAACCTCATAAATTTGATGCAAAGAGTCGTATTCCATTGCTGGGGAAATGTTACACTAAAAACGGGAGTTTGTATTGCGTTCCACATCTTGTGACGTAACATTGTTACACACCATTGTTGGATAGAATTTTGGAGTAAGTAGAGTGAACAGGCCAATTGCTTGACGGTCAAGGGGAATTCGAGTTTCGTGGTAGGATCTAAAATAAATGAATCACCTAAGTGGGTATATGATGGCTTCCATATCTTCAAGAATGTTTCAAATAGCAGAAAAAAATTATTTGAAGTGAGAATAACAAAAAAAAGAATAATGAGATTCAGAAATAGTTGAATGCGAAACCCCTAATTTCTGAACGACCGGACCATATTTTTTTCAATAGAAAAAATAACTGATCACATGATTATACACGAGTAATATTATTGCAAGGTGAAATAATCAGTACAATTTTCATTCCATTTATGGAATATTCAATGCAAGTTGAAATCGTCCAGAAACTAACCCCCGCCCAGAAATGAATCTGTTTACCCTAGGAGAGAAACCCCGATCGTTCTCGATATTACTTTAGACCAAAAATCTACAGAAAAAATGGATAGTCCGGAGCGAGAATAAAAAAGTACCTCATTCCAATCGGAACAAAAAGTTTTTATTTAGCTGATCTTCATCACATCAACGTTCATCTTCTATGATAATAAATCAAAAAACGAAATACCCAACTGAATATTCAAGCGAAAAATTACCACAAAAAAAGTTGACTCGAATTAACCATAACCACTTGTCCCGAATTTGCATTCAACCCCAATAGAATATTCCCCCATCCTCTCTACCCCAATTTGAACCTATTAATTGCCACGACTAATGAAATACCAGATGAAAAAAATTAAAACAATGATAAAAATTCAAATTTACCTTCTTCTCCATCAGGATGAAAGAAAATGGAATAAATTGAAGCTGAGAAAACGGGCTGAGAGGGAATTAGATAGTCAGCACTGAGGATCAAACAGAAGTGGTGAGAAGAGGATAGGGAGGGTCACGTTGGGTTCAGCCGAGAGGCGTTAAATAAAGAAAAAACAGTGAAGGAGGAGGGGGGAAACGAGTGGAAAAAGGATGGTGGTCGAATGGCTGTGTCCTGGACTGAGGCCCACTGGTAGTCGTAGGCCTCGGATTCTCCACTGCAAGGTCATTCTTCTGGATGAACACGAATTACTGCAGGATGTACTCGTGAGTACTTGATTAATTACGATCTTTAACCCCTTCAAAACTCAAAAAATCAATGAATCTGAGGGATTTACCCCGACTCAACTAGAGTTGTTTAAAAATTTTGTGATGCATCATGTGGTCATCTCATGGCAGATGCAAATATGACAACGATTATGGCACTTACGACAACATTACCGAATGGTCGTCAAATTCAAACTGAATAGATGGTCTGCTACGAAATTTGTGTGACATGACTAGAGATGTGGAGTGATCGACATTTTCCCTTTCGGTTAGGTCAGACGTAAATGACCGGTTGCTGACCGTTTACTGAACCTGACCGAATTTTGCATGCAAAATGACTCTCACAGGTGAGCTGTATCAGACACGAGCCAAAATGACCAAAAATCGTCTGTATAGTTGCAAATTGACCGTCATTTTTACACGGGGACAAATTTTTTAGATTATTTTTCTCACTCGGATTTCAGCCAATCAGAGCGCAGTATTTGAGGGTGTCAAACAGTTTTATTTCGGAAATTTCTAAAAAATTTCCGACGAAAATTCACTAGTAGCTTTTCAAATGTTTCTCATCTTTCAACGCATTTCACATTTAATATTCTGTGTGACAGATAAACAAAAAAGTGGGTTGTAAATGTATGGCTGTGTAAATGTTTCCGGATGCTGTTCACTGCACTCTGCTTGGCCGAAATTCGAGTGGAAAAATAATCTGTCAAATACCACTCGTGCTTCAAAATTAATCGGATATTTTCCTCAAGCTTCCCTGCCTAGGAACGAGTGTGTCAAATTTTGCAGAAAAATTTGACGCAATCGTTCCTAGAACGAAGCTACCGGAAAATATCCGATAATTTTGAACCACTAGTGCTAGCACAGGAAAACCGTCACATCTAATCCAAATGAGTTCGTCGGCATGAAAAGGGCCCACTTTTTCGATATGGAGTTATCAATACTCCGATACCCCAGGAGATGAATTTTGGCTCATTCCTCATCTCCTACCAAGATAATATTGCTAAAATTTCACACATTTTAAGCTCAAAATGATCCTGATAGCGTGAAAAACGCCGTCGCTAGAGAAGATGAAATAGCTATTCATGTCATTGGGCCCGTAAACCGCGATCTAATCGAGCGAAGCGAATATTGTCACACGGCGATAAAAGTATCATCTGACACATGTGATTATAATCCTCGCCTTCGGCTCGGATTATAAAGTCACATTCTTCAGATAATATTTTTATCGCCTGATGACATAAAAAATTATTTAACTCTCTTATCTAAGTTTTTTCCCACGATTCAGTCAAAGCGTGGAGTTTGGGCCTCCCCAGTCCGGCGCAGAAAAAGCAAGTACACCGAGAAAAATAGTATATTTCGTAACGAGGGCAAAAAAGTGTTTTTTGGCGAGTGGGAGGTTTATATCACGAGCCGAAGGCGAGTGATATAATCCCACGAGCTAAAAAACATTTTTTCACGAGTTACGAACAATATTTTTCATACAATATTTTTACTTTTCGTCACAGCGTGATGAAAAATATAATTCTGCCAATTACATTTGGTTCAGACAAGAATTCAGTAGCGAAGCGGTGAAGTCCTTTTTACTATTGCCCAGTTTTTGACGAATATCTCGGAATCTAAAAGAGATAGAAAAATTTTGGTTAGGACCTTTTTTGTAGAGCCAAGTGAGGGTTATAAAAAAGGTCATGAGAAATATTTTGCTATCTCTCTTAGATTTCGAGATATTAGTCGAAAATGGGGCAAAATTCAAAATCGAATTGGTCCGGTTTGCCGCTTCGCTACTGAATTTATCGCGGGATTTTGTGTGGAAATATTAGACATTTATTTGCTTGAAACAAATTTGATTGGCAGAATTATATTTTTTTGTCAGTGTAAAAGCAATAGTCACGTTAGAGGGTCAATATAGGTTTAAATAGGTTTTGCGAAAACAAAAACGTGAATATCTCGGAAAATGGAAATTCGCAAAAGTGGGCCGTTTTCATGCGGACGTCCACAAATTGTTGGCCACTTTTCCAGTTTTCGTCCTCAGGACAATTTTTGTCCCTCCCGTTTGACCCTTCTAAATATTTCGCACGTCTCTTTCGCTTCTCAATTTTATGGCATCTTTTGTGGGATTAATCGTATGGAACCGTCATATTCCATCTAAATTACAGTAATCATAACAAATGACTCAAAATTTCAGGATTACTATTCAATTTTATGGTATTTTTTTCATTAAAAATTTATGTGACTTACATATTCCACCTGGATCGCACTAACCTTATCACCCGAGTCGAATAATTGGACCTGACAAGTTCTACTTGGGTCTTTCCGTTCAGAACTGGATAGGTCTTGGGAAGCCTCTTCCCAAGTGCTTCCGAGACCTTTCTACCTCTGGTTATGTCCCATTTCAGCACTTGTTAGGTGTAAGCAGGACTTGTATTCAGACTTTCCAAATCCTTGCCGGTCCCCGTAATTCTATGGGCCTATATTAAATCTGCGTTCATATCCCTGTTTAGTCATACATTATCCAAATAAAAAATGAAAGTGTTAACAAATCTGACCATTGTTCCAAGTCAAAACCGAAAATCTGATCCTGTGGCCCCCGGTGAATAATTTTTTTTTTCAGTTTTCACTTTTTTCACATACTTTTGACAGTTCTGAATAGCCCGTAGCTTAAATAGTTGGAATCAACGTTCACCCGGCTAAAAAATTCGATTTTGGCAAAATCCACTGGCTCCGGAAAACCCGAAAATCTGACCCTTTTGCTGGGGCCAAAAAAAACGGTTTCGCAGTTTTCACTTTTTCCACATACTTTTGATAGTTCTGAATAGCCCGTCGCTTAAATAGTTGAAATCAACGTTCACCCGGCTAAAAAATTCGATTTTGGCGAAAATCCACTTGCCCCGGAAAACCCGAAAATCTGACCCTTTGGCTGGGGCCAAAAAAAACGGTTTCTCAGTTTTCACTTTTTCCACATACTTTTGACAGTTCTGACTAGCCCGGCGCTTAAATAGTTGGAATCAACGTTCACCCGGCTAAAAAATTCGATTTTGGCGAAAAATCCAAGATCTGACACTTTGACCCTTGTGACCCTTGGACCGACTTTCCCCCCGGAAAAATCCAAGATCCGACACTTTGGCCTCCGGTGAAAAAATTTTTTTTTCATTTTTCACTTTTTCCACATACTTTTGATAGTTCTGAATAGCCCGTCGCTTAAATAGTTGGAATCAACGTTCACCCGGCTAAAAAATTCGATTTTGGCGAAAATCCACTTGCCCCGGAAAACCCGAAAATCTGACCCTTTGGCTGGGGCCAAAAAAAACGGTTTCTCAGTTTTCACTTTTTCCACATACTTTTGACAGTTCTGACTAGCCCGGCGCTTAAATAGTTGGAATCAACGTTCACCCGGCTAAAAAATTCGATTTTGGCGAAAATCCACTTGCCCCGGAAAACCCGAAAATCTGACCCTTTGGCTGGGGCCAAAAAAAACGGTTTCTCAGTTTTCACTTTTTCCACATACTTTTGACAGTTCTGACTAGCCCGGTGCTTAAATAGTTGGAATCAACGTTCACCCGGCCAAAAAATTCGATTTTGGCGAAAGTCGACTTTTTCTCTGGAAAAACAGAAAATCTGACTCTTTGGCTCGGGGTGAAAAAAAAATTTTATTTCGACTTTTGTCGCGCCTTCGGCGGTTTTATTGGCATCAGAATTGGTAGAAAATACAGAATCAACTTTCACTTGGCGAAAAAATTCAATTTTGGCGAAAATCGACTTTCACCCTTGACCCACGTGAAAATGACAAATTTTTTTTACCCTTTTCTGTCACCTCCGAGGGTTTCATTGGCATCAGGGGGTCAATAAATACAGAATCAACGTTCATTGTTTTTTATTTAAACACCGCCTGCAAACGGGGAGATGAGGGTGGCTAAAATATATTCTGCAACCCTGTCTCCTCGTTGGCTACAAATTTCAACCCTTCGCATACATGCCTTCCCCTTCACCCGCTCGTAAAATCACGCGTTCTCGGTAGCATCGAGGAGGACTTCTCGGGACCGAAAAGAACTGAGGATTCGAAAGGTCTCTGGAAAAGTACGTCGCAGAACTGATTAGGACTTACCAGGTCCATCTAGGTCTTGAAAAACCTGTGTACGTCCAATCAGAACCAAATCCTCGACTCGGGCAAACTATTCACATTGTAACAAAAACGTATGACGTCACACTACCGTCTGAAATTTCTCAGGTGATGAAAAAAATTACGAAATGCCGAAATGGAAGAAAATACCTGCATTTGAGGAACGAAAAAATTCAATTCCATCGATTCTTTAGCGAACAATCGAAGAAAAATTTATTTACACAGGTACGGACACAGTCTAAAAATTGCATTTTCAGACTTTTTGGATCATAATGGGTCGGTATCACTCGAAAAATTCAAAACTTAAATTTGAACGATTACAATGCTTCCATTCGGAAGAAAAAACAAACAATTTATCTTGAAGACAAATAATTCGTAGAAAAAATGACAAGGCACATTTTTTACACCTAAAGAAATTTGAAAGAAAGAATATCTCTTGACATTTTCGTCTGAATCACCCGTGATGGAAGTAATTCCATACATGCCTATTTAACGAAATGCGAGAAATCTACTTGTTACCGTCTACCCCTTCGCTGCTCATATTCAAAGGGATGAAGACGAGTGTAATGCATGATAATGCAGAAATATCAAAATTAAAACCCTGGAAAAATCCAACGCATCGGAAGTCTAATGGGATGAAACGTATCACATCCCATTCATCAAGACAAACATGCATGCCACGTTTCCCTCCACACTCCCGGGTATTCTCCGAGTCCCATTCCAACCGAAAAAAAAATCCCGAACGAGTTGCCGAGTGCTTTCTGAGAGCTCCACCCCTCCTCTAGTCTCAACATTGTTCCCTGTGCTTATATTAGCCGCCAAACGAAAACCCCACGGGTTGAAAGGCGATGGAGGAGAGGAAATCGAAATTACTTAATGGAGT